AGAAAAAGAAAAAAGAAAAAATGCAAAATGACAAAATCCTAAAACCGTCCTAGGCGAGACAAAGTGTCCCAGAGTATAGTATTCTCAACTGGACCTGTCTCTTATACACATCTAGATGTGTATAAGAGACAGCTCCTACACAGCCTGAAGAGGGTGTTCTTTTTCTTTTCACCCCCCCCGGGCAGTTGCCTCCTTGTTTTTTTTTTTTTTTTTCCTTCCCCCCCCCTTTTTTTTTTTTTTTTTTTTTAGTAGTGACGACGGGAGTACGTGAGCGACATTGTTTCCAACGCTCAGTCTTCTTCTGAGGGGAACTTGGGCAGCCATAGCTGGGGCGCCCTGCTGCTTGAGGAGGCAGCACTTGTAGTGGGTCTTCTAGGTGCTGATTCCACTGCCACCACGCTGTTGTTTGTGGGCGTTGAAGGACGCCACTGTTCATCAAGGGGCTTGTTGCTGGTTGGTGCCATACGAGGGCAACCATCATCTTCTTCATTGAGGTTCACCTTCTTCTTCATGGTTGTTTGTGCTGCTGCGACTTGGTATCTGGCTCATGCCAGATCGACGCCTGTATTCACAGGCTCGAGGCATGATGGGATGCTGTTTTTAGCAGTGGGCTATCATTGGAGGTTGGGGGTCGTAGGGAGAAGGGGAAGTTTCACTGAAACTTTGTTGAAGTGTATTGTTGGGGGTTAATTGGAGGTGGAACAAATTTCGCGGTTGAGATTCTTGGAGTTGTTCGGTTGACGAGGAGAGCAGGGGGTGTAATAAATAATTGATTGAACCATTTTTTCTCTCAATTTTTATATCTGGTTTTGGTTTCCGCTGTGCAATATCTCTCCATGGCTATGGTGTGAATCTGCTCTCTCCAGTCTGCCTATCATTGTAGATGTGTATGGGAACATTAGAATGCGGTTTTGAGTTGTGAATCAATGGAACACATAACAATAGGGGGATCCCATTAGTGAGGGCATTAGGTAGGAGGGTTCTGAGGTAGGACCTCCCTGGGGGGTAGACCTG